GAAGAGGACAGGGGAGCCCTGTGGGGGTGGGGGTGGGGGTGGGGGTGGGGGGGCGGGACCCAGATCTGGAGCTCGGAGTGGACTATAGCCGCTGCCTGCCCGGGTGTGTGTGCCTGGGGGGCGGGGGGGGGGGGGCGCTGAGGGATAAGGGCTGAGGGTGGTGGGGTCTGCTCACGCTGACTCCTGCAACTCAATTCATCCTGGGAACCTTCTGTTGTTTCTGCTGAGGTGCCAGGTGCTGTGATGACCAAAGCTAAACTCCTCTCTTTGCCTAGTTCTTAAAAGGCCTGATCCTCCTGTTATCTTGTTAAATGGACCGACCCCTGCACCCTCCCATCCTGCCAGACCCCTTGTGCAAATACTTCCACTTGAAGAGTTCTTTCTCTGAATCTAGAAAATAAACAGACAACACCCACCAGCCACACCGACCCCATTGCCACAAATACCTAGCAAAGACAAATCTAGCTGGTCTCCTTCTGCCTCAAGGCACTTTAGAGAGTCACTCTCTCAGACACACCTTAGGCTCAATTACAGGCTGCTGTCTCCCTTTCTCTGGCACAATTCCATCCCTGGAGGAGCCCCATATCGCATCTGCAGCCGTGAGCTGGAGACAGTATGCTCAAGTGACCGGGTGGTAGCACCGTAACTTTGAAATGACCTATACCCCAAGTCATCCATGAACATGGTCCCTGGAAATCTTTGACATTCACGTGCCTCTGATGAAATCCTTGCTTTGGAAACTCCAGCACCCATAGCCAATCTTGTCCATGTTCTGCTAACCTTTGCTCGCCCTCTGTTCGCCTGATATCTTGCCTGATTGTTTACAGAGAAATTAGATCCCATCCAGCAAGAGCTGAATCCGAGTCCTCTGCTCACCCCACGACGGAAAAGAATATGCACAGGCCTGCATCCCTCTTCTCCTTCTCCACCATGTCGGAAGAAAAGGTGGCCCTCCCTCCTCCCATCAGAACCCAAACCCGAGATAAGACTTAGATATAAAGGAAACCAGCATACTGTTTTGAACTCTATATACACTTGTAAAAAACGAGCAGCGGCAAGGAAACACACAAACCACCACCCCCCCCCACACACACACAGGTGCAAGGAGGGTGCGCTGACTCGCTGAATCTCCCCCTTTTCTCCCGAGAGGCATCCCCCCCATCCCCCGCCCCCCCCCGAAGATGTCCTCCCTATGCCGGAAGGGGAGTGAGTGACGTTCTTTTCTTCCTTTTTTTTTTTTTTTAAATTATTCTTTTTAAAAGACTTTTATTTATTTGAGAGGAGGGGTGGGGGGGAGGGAGGGGGGAGGGAGGGAGAGAGAGAGAGAGAGAGAGAGATTGAGAGAGAGAGAAGCAGAGTCTCCGCCGAGCAGGGAGCCCGATGTGGGGCTGGATCCCCGGACCCTGAGCTCAGGGCCTGAGCCGAAGGCAGGCGGACGGTTCACGGATTGAGCCAGCCAGGCGCCCCAGCTTTCTTGTTTCTTTGTCTGCCTGCTTGCCTGCGTGTTGGGTCTGTGGATGTCTGATGCCTGCCCTCTGATTTCGTGGGGAGGTGGGCCGTCTTTCCTCCTTCCAATGGCCTTTGCGCATTTGTCAAACTTCTGTCGGGCTTGGGCCTATCTGTTTGGGTATCTGTGGCGTTCCATCCACCGACCTGTCTCTTTTGTCTGCCAACATCACAGGGTCTCTATCGCCTCTATACATAAGCATGAAACGGGCCCGGAGAGGACGACTTTGTTTCCTGAGTTTTGTTTTGTTTTCTTCGAAATCACCATAGCGATTCTAATTCCTTTTGCCTGTCTGCTTGTGTATGTAATCTGTACACCCATCCAGTGCGGTGCTGGAACTCACGACGCCCGCCGATCAAGAGTCGCGGTCGCGTGGGCCTCCTCCGACCGAGCCAGCCAGGTGCCCTGAAATACGTGTACTTGAAAAACCAATGTGAAGCCTGCACCCGTGAACTTTTTTTTTTAAAGATTTTATTTATTTATTTGAGACAGAGAGAATGAGAGAGACAGAGAGCACATGAGAGGGGGGAAGGGTCAGAGGGAGAAGCAGACTCCCTGCCGAGCAGGGAGCCCGATGCGGGACTCGATCCCGGGACTCCGGGATCATGACCTGAGCCGAAGGCAGTCGCTTAACCAACTGAGCCACCCAGGCGCCCTTTTTTTTCTTTTCTTTTCTTTTTTTTTTTTAATAGATGCACCCGTGAAGTGTTTACTGCGAAACCTTCTTTTGATCGTCGCACTCTTGAGTGGAGGCCGTACCAGTAAAGAACGTAGTTTAGCCAACTCAGGAAGAGATCAGCTTTAAAGGAAAACCTTCTTTTCGAGTTTGTGATGTCTGGTCCTTTCTCTCAACTCGATCGATGTCCAGCCTTCAGAGCCACATTATTTGCTTGGTCTCTCTCTCTCTCTCTCTCTCTCTCTCTCTCTCTCTCTCTCGTCTGTGTTTCCTCGTGTACTTTCCTGATGCTCAGGATTTATGGTTTAGAGAGAACAGTTTTCAGCCTGGTGTGTGTGTGTGGGGGGGGGGATGTTGTGAAGTGGGATCAGGGATTCACGCGGGTAAGGAGGAGGCAAGGAGAAAGGCTTGGTTGGGAAGGAAACCATTAAAGGTCCATGTTGAAATGGTGAAGTTTATTTTATTTATTTATTTATTTATTTATTTATTTACTTTTTAAAGATTTTATTTATTTATTTGACAGAGAGAGACAGCGAGAGAGAGAACACAGGCAGGGGGAGTGGGAGAGGGAGAAGCAGGCCTCCCGCGGAGCAGGGAGCCCGATGTGGGGCTCGATCCCAGGGCCCTGGGCTCGTCACCTGAGCCGAAGGCGGACGCTTAACGACTGAGCCACCCCCCAGGTGCCCCGAAATGGTGAAGTTCAATGTAGTAAGAGTTACCTTTAATCAAAGGAATTCTTTTTTTTTTCTTTTATTTTATTCTTATGTTAATCCCCATACATTACATCATTAGTTTTAGATGAAGTGTTCCATGATTCATTGTTTGTGCACAACACCCACTGCTCCATGCAGAATGGGCCCTCCTCAATACCCACCACCAGGCTAACCCATCCTCCCACCCCCCTCCCCTCTAGAACCCTCAGTTTGTTGTTCAGAGTCCATCGTCTCTCATGGTTCGTCTACCCCTCTGATTTCCCCCCGCTTCATTCTTCCCCTCCTGCTACCTCCTCCTCCTCCTCCTCCTCCTCCTCCTCCTTCTTCTTCTTCTTCTTTTTTTTTCTTAACATAGATTGCATTATTATTTGTTTCAGAGGTACAGATCTGAGATTCAACAGTCTTGCACAATTCACAGCGCTTACCAGAGCACACACCCTCCCCAGTGTCCATCACCCAGTCACCCCATCCCTCCCACCCCACCCCCCACTCCAACAACACTCAGTTTGTTTCCTGCGATTAAGATAATCAAAGGAATTCTTGCTGGAGGTTGCTTCTCCCCTCTCCTCCCTGGATAGGGGAGTGAAGTTTTTTCGAGGTCCCTAGTGGACACAGAAAGCGTTCAAGTGCCCCTAGCACCTATGGATGGGGCTCTGTTGCCCTCTAGTGTCCTATCCTCTGCTACTGCTGCTCGTGGTTTCCTCTGACGTCGTATTCGTCACAGGTGTGTATCTTTGATGGTTAATGCTGCTCGGTGTCGGTTGTTTGCGTGTTTGTTTTTGAAAGCTTTTTGAGTGATCATCCAGCATGGTGCTGGAACTCACGACCCCTGCAGATCAAGAGTCGCAGTCGCGTGGGCCTCCTCCGACCGGAGCCAGTCAGGTGCCCTGAAATGCGCTTAGTTGAAACAGGAAGAAAGAAAAAACAAAAAACAAAACCCAAACCATTTTTTTTTTCCCCCTTTACGAGCCAGAGGAAGTTCTACGCCTTGTTTTTGTTTTACCCTTAATAGCATGGAACAGTTCCCCTCCTCCTCCTCCTCCTCCTCCTCCTCCTCCTCCTCCTCCTCCTCCTCCTCCTCCTTCTTCTTCTTCTCCATCATCATCATCATCATCATCAATATTTAACTCTTCTAGAGCACCTCCCCCGCCCACCCCGTACTAGTGTTGGACGGCACGGATGTCCCGGAACTGGATTTCTTTAAAGATATATATTTTTACGATTTTATTGATTTATTTGACAGAGGGAGACACAGCGAGAGAGGGAACACAAGCAGGGGGAGTGGGAGAGGGAGAAGCAGGCTTCCTGCCGAGCAGGGAGCCCGATGCGGGACTCGATCCCGGGACTCCGGGATCATGACCTGAGCCGAAGGCAGTCGCTTAACCAACTGAGCCACCCAGGCGCCCTCTTTTTTTTTTTTTCTTAACATAGATTGCATTATTTGTTTCAGAGGTACAGATCTGAGATTCAACAGTCTTGCACAATTCACAGCGCTTGCCAGAGCACCTACCCTCCCCAGTGTCTATCACCCAGTCACCCCATCCCTCCCACCCCACCCCCCACTCCAGCAACCCTCAGCTTGTTTCCTGCGATTAAGAATTCCTCCTATCCGTGAGATCATAGGATACATGTCTTTCTCTGTTTGACTTATTTCACTCAACATAATACCCTCCAGTTCCATCCACGTCGTTGCCAATGGCAAGATCTCATTCCTTTTGATGGTTGCATGATATTCCATTGTATGTATATATATACCACATCTTCTTTATCCATTCATCTGTCGATGGACATCTTGGCTCTTTCCACAGTTTGGCTATCGTGGATATTGCTGCTATAAACATCGGGGTGCACGTACCCCTTCGGATCCCTATTTTTGTATCTTTGGGGTAAATACCCAGTAGTGCAATTGCTGGATCATACGGCAGCTCTAGTTTCAACTTTTTGAGGAATCTCCATACAGTTTTCCAGAGTGGCTGCACCAGCTTGCATTCCCACCAACAGTGTAGGAGGGTTCCCCTTTCTCCGCATCCCCGCCAACATCTGTCATTTCCTGACTTGTTACTTTTAGCCATTCTGACTGGTGTGAGGTGGTATCTCATTGAGGTTTTTTTTTTTTTTTTTAAGATTTTATTTATTTATTTGAGAGAGAGAGAGAGACAGAAAGAGAGCATGAGAGGGGGGAGGGTCAGGAGGATCAGAGGGAGAAGCAGACTCCCCGCTGAGCAGGGAGCCCGATGCGGGACTCGATCCTGGGACTCCAGGATCATGACCCGAGCCGAAGGCGGTCGCTTAACCAACTGAGCCACCCAGGCGCCCTCATTGAGGTTTTGATTTGGATTTCCCTGATGCTGAGCGATATTGAGCACTTTTTCATGTGTCTGTTGGCCATTTGGATGTCTTCTTTGGAAAAATGTCTGTTCATGTCTTCTGCCCATTTCTTGATTGGATTCTTTGTTCTTTGGGTGTTGAGTTGGATGAGTTCTTTATAGATTTTGGATACGAGCCCTTTATCTGATATGTCATTTGCAAATATCTTCTCCCATTCTGTCGGTTGTCTTTTGGTTTTGTGGACTGTTTCCTTTGCTTTGCAAAAGCTTTTTATCTTGATGAAGTCCCAAGAGTTCATTTTTGCCTTTGCTTCCCTTGCCTTTGGCGATGTTTCTAGGAAGAAGTTGCTTTGGCTGAGGTCAAAGAGGTTGCTGCCTGTGTTCTCCTTTAGGATTTGGATGGACTCCTGTCTCACATTGAGGTCTTTCAACCATTTGGAGTCTATTTTTGTGTGTGGTGTAAGGAAATGGTCCAGTTTCATTCTTCTGCATGTGGCTATCCAATTTTCCCAACACCATTTGTTGAAGAGACTGTCTTTGTTCCATTGGACATTCTTTCCTGCTTTGTCAAAGATGAGTTGACCATAGAGTTGAGGGTCCATTTCTGGGCTCTCTATTCTGCGGAACTGGATTTCTTGAGTGAAGGACTATTTTAACTCCCTTCCTCCCCATTCCGCGCCTGCCCCCGCCCCGCCCCCCCGCCCCCGCACGCACCGCCCCGCCCCGCCCCCCGCCCCCGCACGCACCGCCCCGCCCCGCCCCCGCCCCCGCACGCACCGCGCGCCCCGCCCCCCGCCCCCGCACGCCCCGCCCCGCTTGTTGGCCTTGGACGTTATCGCGTACGTGCAGAGACGGATTTGATGTGCACCTTTCTGGGGGTGTGTGTCAATCCCCCCCCCCCCTTCCTGTCCTGAGCTTTCTTCGTATGCTTCAGAGAGACCTCCTCCTCCCCTTAAAATGATAGAAGAGAGAAGGTTCATCCGTGGTGGTTGTCGGAGTACTCGCTTGGTCTCGGTTTTACGGTCCTTGCCCGCCGAAATGTGTCTTAAGTCCTCCCGGAAGCCCGGGCGCCGCAGGTGTGCCGCTGTGGGAGGCCCGTGCCCCACGAGATCGGGCGGCCGGGCGGCCGGGCTGTGCGCCTTCGCGGGCCCGCGATCCGGATCTGCCTCGTTGTTGTTCGCGCCGGTTGTCGGGTGCCACCTGGCGGCCGCTTTTAGATAGCGTGTCCCCGCCGGAGTGTCAGCGATGTCGGCAAGGGATTGTATTTGGCCGCGGTTCCCGAGGCGGAGTACCGGGAGGCCGGCGACGCTAGCGAGATCGGCCCGCTGTCTCCGGGCCACCGGCGCGACCTCCGCTCGCGGGAGATTGAGCCTCCAGGTTTGTGGGCTGGTGGTGGCGCCGCCGCCTCGCTCCCGGAGAGCCACGCTAGGGTGGCCGCCTGGACGGGTCGACCAGCACCCGCCGGTGCCCCCTCCTCCGCCCGCGGGAATGGGAGAGGCTGCGTCGGGCGCCCGGACGCCATCCGGCCCGTGGCTCCGGTCGGCCGTTGGGCCTTCCGTGTCACGCTCGGGCGGTTGGGGACCGGCCTGAGCCTTGCGGGGAAGCCCATGGATGGCGCGACGGGCCCCGCCGCGGGCACGCGTGGGGTCCCGGTCATCGGACCCGATATTTTTTTTTTTTTTTAAGGTTTTTGTTTATTTATTTATTTATTTGAGAGAGAGAGAATGAGAGACAGAGAGCATGAGAGGGAGGAGGGTCAGAGGGAGAAGCAGACTCCCCGCCGAGCAGGGAGCCCGATGCGGGACTCGATCCCGGGACTCCAGGATCATGACCCGAGCCGAAGGCAGTCGCTTAACCAACTGAGCCACCCAGGCGCCCCGGACCCGATATTCTTAACAAGTTTTCCGAGGCCCGCTGCGGAGGTGGGGACCCGACCGGGTCGGGCCGGGCCGGGCCGGGCCGCGAGGGCCCCAGGGGCCCGGCTGCGGTTCCCGTTGAGGTCCGGCCTTCGGGGGGACGCCTCCGCGGCATCGCCCCCTTTCCTCAGTCCCGGCCGGGAGTCGGGGACCGGCATGGGGCGGTCCTGAGGCCCGGGGAGGAGGGCGTCCGCAGGGGCCTCCACAGAACTTGGTGAGAATTTCTAAAGTCCCGATTTGGGGACGAAAGGCGGACCCGGGGGCGGGCCTATCCGGGCCGCTCCACCTCCCGCCAAGTCCCTACTCGCTGCCGGCTGCCACCACGTTCCGGGGGTCGACCAGATGGCCCGGGGGGGGGGGGGGGCGGGGGGGGCTCCGGGGGGAGACGGGGGCGATGGATTAGTGCTTGGGGCCCGTGGCCGGGACACGGTCCCAGGAGATCCCGGTGACCTGTGGCTAGGCCACGCCAGGCGGCGCGGCTATTTTCTCGCCCGAAATGAGCCCTTTTTGCCGCCAGGTAGGTGCTGGCACGTTATGTTTGGGCGATCCTCTCCTTAAGGGAGGTGGGCTTCTGGGCGTGTGGCGGGGCTCCGGGCTTGACAGGGATGCCAAGCCCGGCTCTGCCGTCGCTGGCCTGAGCCGTCCGCGTGGGCCTGTGCGCCGGCTCCTGTGCCTCCAGGTGGCCCAGGCCGTTGGTGCCGCCTCCGGTCTCCAGCACCCGAGGGCGGTTGTGGGCAGGTGGCGCGTGGGTCCTTTACCCTGTGTCCTCCACTCTGCGGGCACCCGGCTGTGGTCGTGACAACCTCCCGTCCCGCAAGGCTCCGTGCCGCGTGTCAGGCGTTCCTCTCTCTCGGGTTGTCCGGCTGTTCCTGCCCTGGGGTTTTCGAGGGGGTGCCGGTGAGGCCGAAAAAAAACAAAACCAAACAGGCTCCCCCTCGGGTTGCTGTCCTCACCGGCTTCTCCCCTCCTCGGGCTCCTCTCGGCGCTTGTGTTTTGCCAGATCGATGTGGTGCTCTCGCGCTCTCCCGGGCCGGGCCTAAGCCGCGCCAGACGAGGGACGGACGTTCATGGCGAATGGGACCGCTCTTCTCGTTCTGCCCGCGGGCCCCTCGCTCCTTCGCCTCTGCCCGCCGTGGCGGTGAGGTGGGGGGTACGGGGGGGGGGTGTGCAGGCTCCGGCCCGACCCCGCCTTCCCGTGTTCTGCCTGACGGCGCTCGCGGGCCCGGGGTTCCCCGACGCAGCGGACACTCTCGCTTGCCTTCCCTGGCTTCGTGTGGTGCGCGGTCCTCCCCGCCACGGGGAGGGCCGTCCCGGCGCCGCGCTGCTCACGCGCTTGGGCGTGCTGAGCGCGTTGTGCGCGTGGCCCTCCGTGGTGCCCCTGGAGCGCTCCAGGTCGTCTCAGGTGTCTGAGGCCGAGCCGGTAGCGTCGTTTCCGTTTCTCAGCAAAACCTCTCCGTCGGGCCACCACTGTCGTTGTCATGTTTGAGGCGTGTGTGGTGGGCTGGTAAGTGAGGTCTCCCCCCATGTGACGTGGCGCCTCGTCATATGCCGCCGCAATAGGTGCTGGTGCTGTGTGTACTGGACTTGGTGGTCTGGCCTTGTTCTTGGAGGTTAGGCCACACGCCCTTGCGTTTCTTTTCCTTCCCGGTGGATCGGGTCGACCAGCGCTCTGGTCGCCCTCGCGGCGGGGGAGACCTGCCTGGGGAGCGTGGGTCGATCAGTGCTCCCTACGACGGCCGGGCCTGAGGCCTATGACTCACCCACGCCGCCGAAGGGAGCGCTGGACGACTCGCGGGCCCCATCACGTGGGCGTAAGCGCGAGGCTAAGGTCAAAGGCCTCAGGCCTCGCACTTACGCCCACGTGATGGGGGCCGCGAGTCGTCCAGCGCTCCCTTCGGCGTCGTGGCTTAGCCTTGGACTTTGTGTTTTGGGGTCTCGGGTCTCGTCTCCTGGACTTCGTGATGGTTGTGCCCATGTGTTCCAACCCTTCGCCCTCCGCCCTCCGCCCTCCGGCAGCCCCTCCGAAGCGGCCCGTGATGTGATCGGGCGCCGGGGCGGCCGTGCTGTGCGCCTTCGCGCCCCCGCGATCCGAATCTGCCTCTTTTTTGTTCGCGCCGGTTGTCTGGCGCCACCTGGCGGCTCCTTTTAGGTAGCGTCTCCCCGCCGGAGCGTCGGTGATGTCTTCAAGGGATTGTATTTGGCCGCGGTTCACGAGGCGGAGTTCCAGGAGGCCGGCGACGCTAGCGAGATCGGCCCGCTCTCTACGGGCCGTTGGCGCGCGCTCCGCTCGCAGGAGATTGAGCCTTTAGGTTTTTCGGGCTGTTGATGGTACCGCCGCCTCGCTCCTGGAGAACAGCATTAAGAGGGTCGCCTGGCCGGCTCGACCAGAACTCTCCAATGCTTCTTTCTCAGTCTCTTGCCGTGCCCGATATTCTTATCAAGTTTCCGAGACCTGCTGTGGAGATGGGGACCGGGTTCGCCTGCGAAGGCACCAGGAGTCCGCTTGCGGTTCTCGTTGAAGTCGGGCCTTTGTTGTACGCTTCCTCGTCATCGTTCTCTTTTGTCAGTCCTGGTTGAGAGTCGGGGACCGGCATGGGGCGTTCTTGAAGCCCGTGGTGTAGAGCGCCTGCAGGGGCTTCAACAGAACTTTCTGTAAATTTCTAAGTCCCCATCTGTGGACGGTAGGCGGACCGTGGGGCGGGCATATCCAGGGCCCTCCACTTCTCGCCAACTCGCTGCCGACCGCCACCACGTTCCGCATGGGGGTGTGGGGTGTGGGCGAAAACCGGGGTCGATGGACTAGTGTTTGGCCCCCATAGGCGTGGCACGGTCCCAGGAGATCCAGGGAGCTATGTCTCGTCTCCGGCAGGCGGCGCGGCTATTTTCTCACCTGAAATGAGCCCTTTTTGTTGCCAGTTAGGTGTTGGCCCGTTGTAGTTTGGTGGTTTTCTTGAGAGGAGTCGGTGGGTGGTAGGGTTTCTGTCTTTACACCGTGATGCCAACCTGGGCTCTGCCCTCGCTGGCTGGAGCCATTCCCGTGGGCCTGTGCGCCGGTTTCTGTGCTTTCAGCTAGTCCATGCCGTTAGTGACTTCTCTGATCTGGATTTGAGAGCGTTATGCGCAGATAAAGCGTGTGTTTATTTTAGCCCTTGCACTCCATTTTCCCGACCCCCGCTGCGGTGGAGATAACCCCCCGTGTACACAAAGCTTCGTGCCGCGTGTCAGGCGTTTTCCTTCCTCGTGTTGCCCGGTTTCTGTCTCGGGTTTTTGTGGGGTGCCAGTTAGGCTGAAGCAGTTTTGTTTGCTGTGCCCTGCGTGCTCTCACGCTTCGGGGACGCTTTTCGGTGTGTCTTTTGTAGATCGATGTGGTGCTGTGGTGCTCTTCCCGGCCGGGTTTAAGCCGAATTTAACGTGCGATGAACATTGATGAATGTGTTCGCTCTTTTCGCTGTTTGCAGTCTTGTCGCTCCTTCGCCTCCGCCCGCGGTGGTGGGGTGCGGCGTTGCGTGGGCGTGTGCAGACCGCGGCCCGACCCCGCCTTCACGTGTTCTGCCTTAGAGTGCTCTCGGGATCGGGGGTCCCGTGTTAGTAGCAAACACTCTCGCTTGCTTTTCCTGGGTTTGGATGCGGTGCGCGGTCTTCCGCACCACGTGGACGTCCGTCCCGACGTGGCCGTGCTCACCAGCTTGTGCTTGTTTAGCGCGTTGTGCTTGGCTTTCCGTGGTGCCCCTGGAGCGCTCCAGATCGTCTCAGGTGCCTGAGGCCGAGCGGGTAGGGTCTTTTCACATTCCTAGCGACCCCCTTTGGTACACCACTGTGGGTGGCGTGTCCGAGGAGCTGTTGCGGAGTCGTTAAGGGAGGTCCACATCGCTCCCTCGTGGGACGCGTGCGCCGCTTCGTTACCTGTCGGAAGGTGGTGCTGTTGGGGAATGGACTTGGTGGGGCATGTGAACGGTTGTGGCGGGCCCAGCCAGCACTCTGGCACTTGGAGAGCCAAAAGCTGCCGCCTTTTTGCCCAGCATGCCGTGCCTGTCCCCCTTCCTGGTTGCCTCGCCGGAGACGCGAAAGTCCCCGCTGGTCGATGATGTGACCACGGCGTGCGTGGCGTAGCAAACGCGTTCTCCTTGTGGGGTCCCGGCCACGAGCGCTCTGGATTGCCGTCTGTCCCTTGCCCCGCGGACCCATACATGCCTCCTCAGCCCTTGGTATAAAGCCTTTAAAACGTCGTTCTGCAGAGCCCGGTCCGGGGGTGACCATTTGTGTGTGGGCGATGCGCCCTCGTTGAGAATGCCTTCTCTAGCGATCCGAGAGGGTGCCTTGGGGTACCGGAACCCCCCAGCCGCCGCCCCTCCTCTGCGCGTAGTGGCCACCATGCGTGGTGACTACAGTTGTTTTGGGCAGCGCTTCCGTCTGCGAGGGGGGTTTGACTTTGCTGGCCGTGCGGTGGGGCTGAGCGCCTCTCTGCTTATCGCGGCGTGCGCCTCCCCCCTACGACTCGGGGGAGGGTCCCGCCGGGCCTGGCCGCCGTCTGGAGCGTGGGGCTCCTGCGTGCGAGGGCGCACGCGCGGCGGCTCCGTCGTGTTTGTGTCTGCTGATGGGCTCAGGGGCGCCCCCGCGCGACGAGCGAGTGGCTGTCTGCGTACACGCTCCCGTCCCGAATCGCTGTTGGTGGCACCGTGTGCGCACAAGTTGGGTAGCTCCCGCCTTGGGACACTTCCCATGTTCGCGACTTCTGGGATGTGCCGGATTGACGGAACTTCAAGACGTGTCCCAGCGGTGTGGGCCTCGGTTTGCGTGGAAGCTCGCCAAGGGTGCTGAGGCCGGCTGGCGTCCTGGGCGTCGCGGGACCGCTCTCGTGCTGGTGGCCGGTGGGATTCCTTGCGCGTTTACCTGGTGGCCCGTGTTGCGTCTTCGTTGGCACGCCTTTCCTCGAACCGGCACCCCCAAGCACTCCCGTGGCTCCCCTGCGGTGCTTCCCTTTTCCTGCTGCACCCTGTGAGCCGATCCCATTAGAACCCCACCTTCAGTGGCCCCATGTATCCAAACCCTTAGCATGATACTCCTAGCCCACACTCTCAACTCAGGCCTCTGGGAACTTTGCCACACCTTTGGCAGTTTGGACCTGTCATGCTCTCCTAAGCCCTAACCAACCCTATGTTCGCTTCTGAGAGGTTCATCCCCAGAGACCTGCCTTTCAACACCAAATTTTGGCACACCTGAGCCTTCCCACAGGACTCAGCTTGCCACCCACAAGGAAATGGTACTATTTGGGCAACCTGTAGTATTCACAGCAGACGACTTTTGCATGCCACGAGGTGAAGATCAGCCTGAACCCGCACTTTCAGTGCTGCTGTTCGAAACAACCTTGAGTGTGACACTTGTCCCATGCCTTCCATGCAGCCCTCCCTGGACTTTGCCACAGAGCCTGCATATTGGAGCTGACATGCCTCTAGGCCCTAATCTGAAATGGAGGTGGGGTTCTGAGATGTCCATTCCTTGAAGCCTTGGATCCCAATACCAAGGGATTGGGAGACACCTTAGCCTAATGGGTAGGATTCAGCCTACCCTGAAGAAGGAACATGAGCCCTTTGGGCCCCCAGAGAAGGATTCACAACAGCAGAAAATTTTACATGCTCCTGAGACCCAATCACAGCTTATGCCTGTTGTCAGTGGCCTTGTGTACCCAAACCCTGAGCAGAGGACACTCCTCCTAAACCATGCCCTCAACTGAGGCTTTGGGGTACTTTGCCACATGGTCATTAGTTTGGACCTTGCCATGCCCCCTAAGCCCTAACCCTAGCTCAGGTTCTGAGAGGTCCTCCCCAGAGGCCTGACACCAAGGCCCAGGGATTGTGAACATCTGAGACCTATGAAAGGGCTCAGCATTGCAACCCAGAATGTAACCTTGCCATTTGGTCCTCCACAAAGGATACAGAGCAGGTGAAATCTAAGCCAAAACCTTGGACTGATGTCCACCCTATACCACAATCTAAAAGATGTGTAAGCCACACACAGCTGCCAGATCAGATGTGTTAAGACCCTAGGAGGCAACATTAATTATACTTGGGGTACTGAGAAGTGTTTCCCCAGAGGCCTGACTCCCAAGCCCCAT